CGGGAAGCCTGCTTCTCCCTCTCCCGCTCCCCCTGCTTGTGTTCCTGCTCTCACTGTCTCTCTCTGTCAAATAAATAAATAAAATCTTTAAAAAAAATAAAAATAAATTAAAAAAAAGATTTCATTTATTTATTTGACAGAGAGAGACACAGCGAGAGAGGGAACACGAGCAGGGGGAGCGGGAGAGGGAGAAGCAGGCTTCCTGCTGAGCAGGGAGCCCGACGTGGGGCTCGATCCCAGGACCCTGAGATCATGACCTGAGCCGAAGGCAGACACTTAACGACTGAGCCACCCAGGCGCCCCAGAGAAGTGTCTTGATCTGACTTAGATTTTAATAGGATCCCTCCAGTTGCTGGTGGGGACTAGACTATGGGGGTTGGGGAGGGAGGGACATGAGGATCTTCTGCTTTAGCAGAGAGACTACTGCCATGGTCCGAGCAACAAGTGATGTTCAGTTGGGTCAGGGTACTAGCAGAGGCAGGTGAGAAGGTGACAGATTATGGCTCTGTTTTGAAGGAAAGGCTATGTCCTAGCTCCTTAGCTTGGTAGTCGAGGCTTCTCTCTGCCACTGGACACACTTAGGTTCTGGCCGTGCACACCATTGTGGCGGACAGAATAATGGCCCCCTAATGAGGTCCACATCCAAATCCCCTGCACCTGGGAATATGTGACTTTACTTGGCAAAGGGAACTTTGCAGTTGTGATTAAGGATTTTGAGGTGGGAAGAGGATCCTAGATTATCTGGGGGGGGGCCCAAGGTAATCACAAGGGTCCTTATAAGAGGGAAGCAGGAGGGTCAGAGTCAGGAGCAGGAGATTTGACAGTGGAAGCAGCTCTCAGAGTGATGGGAGGAAGGGGCCACCGGCCAAGGAATGCAGCCCCAGAAGGGGTCTGCTGACACCTTGATTGTAGATGCCTGACCTCCAAAATTTTAATGGAATAAATCTGTACTGTTCTGAGTCGCTAAGTCTGTGGTCACCTTGTTACAGCTGCCACAGGAGACCAGGACAGATCCTCTGGGCTGTATTATTTTCACGCCTCTAGGCCTTTTCTCAAGCTGGTGCCACTGCCTAAGATGCCCTTCGGAGTGGTGCCACCCTATCTGGTAATCACCAGCTGTCGGTTCCTCTTCAGATGCAAATGAATTCAAGTAAAAAATTGAGTTCCTCAGTTGCACCAGCTGCTAGTTCGAAGCTCAATAGCCCGGTGTCGCTGGCGGCTACCATACAGGGCAGTGCAGATACAGAACCTTTCCATCACTGCAGGACGTTTTACGAGACAGGGCTTCTCGAGGATCTCACCGGCTCACATCTTGAAGTCACATAGTAGTGGCACCTAAATGTAGGGTCATCACTACAGGACCGCATCTTCCATAGAGTTTCTCCTTTAAGGTAAGTCCTACCCCAACACAGGGAAGTAAGGGGAGATGCTTCTTTTTATAAGACGAGGCCCAGAGAAGGGAGGTCATTTGCCCAAGATCACACAGCAAAGAAATTATAGAACTGAGATCTGATCCCATGGTCACTTGACTCTGGTGCTCATGCTCTTATCTCTGAAATCTTCCTTCCTTGCCTTGCTCGAATGACACTTTCTCCAGGGAGTCTTCTCTGATTCATTCCCCTCCGAGGGAGGGAGTAGTGTTCTCTTCTCTGGGTTAAGTTTCTGGAACACAAGTTCCCAGGTACGCTGTAAATTCCCCATGGGCAACATCTGTGCCATTTTTATTTTTATTTCTTCTCCACCCATTCCCAGGCCTTAGAAATAACAAAACTATCTTTATCTGTCTACATCCTGTTTTCCAACTAGACTGTGAGCTCCCCAGTGATGAAGATCTCTTTCTTGCTATCTCTTCTTTAAAAAAAAAAAAAAGATTTTATTTATTTGACAGAGAGAGAGAGAAAGCATGAACAGAAGCAGGGGGAGTGGCAGGGAGAGGGAGAGGGAGAAGCAGGTTCCCCGCTGAGCAAGGAGCCCAACACAGGGCTCCATCCCAGGACCCCTGGGATCATGGCCTGAGCCGAAGGCAGATGCTTAACTGACTGAGCCACCCAGGCGCCCCGATATCTCTTCTTTCTATTTCTGGCATAGGGACACATAGTAGGTCCTCACCAATACATATTTTAGTCCTGGGGTTTTATTCAGAATTGACATGCATGAGTTATGAAGACCATTTCTCCCTTGTAGACTGAATTATGTCCTGGGACAATTTACAGAGCTTTATGAACAGCTGGGGGAAATCCTGTTGTCAATCCATTAGGGCCAGTGCCATTTAGGAGAGCTCTTCTTTGATACATTTATAAAAAGTCTTTTGTGGTTTTTTAAAAATTTATTTTCATTTATTACTGCATCAGCCTTTTTTTTTTAAAGAAGAAATCAATTTCATGGAAGCTTTCAAATGTAATGCTTTTTTAAAAAAAATATATTTATTTTAGAGAGAGTGCACGCGAGTCGGGGGAGGGACAGAGGGAGGGGAAGAATCCTCAAGCAGACTCCCCACTGAGCGTGGAGTCCGATGCAGGCCCCATCCCAGGACCCAGAGATCATGACTCGAGCCAAAAGCAAGAGTCAGACTCTCAACCGACTGAGCCCACACATGCCCCTCAAATGTATTTCTGTGGAACTTGGTCATTAAAAATAATCTTGCTTTTTGTTTGTTGTAATTTCCCCTTGTCTGTTCTTAATTTTGTTTGTTCTTTGAACGCATTGATTTCCTTGTTTCCAAAGCACCAGGTCTGAATATTTTTCTAAGAACGAATTTCAAGTTTGCTACTCAATCCTAGGTTTGGTAGTTTGCCACACACATCTTGAGGTCATATTTGTTGTTTACTTCCTCCCGTTTTTCTTTAAAAAGAAGTTGTAGTTCTCTTTTGGAAAGTTCAAGCCATGCTTAGTCAGTTTCTTCCCCTTCTTTTGATGACTTACAAATTGGCTTCTCTGTGTTCAGATTGTTTTCCCAACGGTTTGATAATTGCAACCGACTTCCCTCTTGACATCCCAAATCAATGTCCAACACGTAACTCAAACTCGAATACGCTCAAAATGGAACTCTGGATTTTCTCTCTCAGCCCTCCTTCCCTATTTTCCTGATCTCAGCTGATGGCAACTCCCTATTTCCAGGCACTGAGGCCAAAAACTTTGGGGTCATCCTTGACGCCTCTCTTTCTCTCACAGTCAATGGCCAGTCTGTCAGCCAACCCCTCTGGGCACTACTTTAAAGTATCCACAGAATCCGACCCCTTCCCACCACCTTCTCTGCCACCACCTCTCACTCACTGCACCGGCTGCCTCCCTGGTCCTCTTTGCTCATCTTGGTTCCCTACGGTCTTCTTTCCCCGCACACGAGCCCAAGATTCTGTTAAAATCTAACTCAGATCTTTGGGGCGCCTGGGTGGCTCGGTCGTTAAGCGTCTGCCTTCGGCTCGGGTCAGGATCTCAGGGTCCTGGGATCGAGCCCCGCATCGGGCTCCCTGCTTGGCGGGGAGTCTGCTTCTCCCTCTCCCGCTCCCCCTGCTTGTGTTCCCTCTCCCGCTGTCTGTCAAAGAAAGAAAGAAAGAAGGAAGGAAGGAAGGAAAGGAAAGAAAGAAAGAAAGAAAAAAAAAAAATCTTTACCAAAACAATCTAACTCGGATCGTGTCTCAGGTCCCTCCTCTGCTCAAACTCCCCCCGTGGCTCCCACTTCACTCAGATGAGGAGCCAAAGTCCTCACCGTGGTGTGCCTGATCTACTCTCCTCCTCTCCTCACCTCACTTCCAGCCATTCCCCCTCCTTCACTCCCTCCACACAAGCCAGCTTGCTGACCTCTGAACCCACCAACCATGTTGCCATGGCAGTCTGCATTTGCGATTTCCTTAACCTCCAGGGATCTCCCATGGCTTGCTGCCTCACTTATTTCTGCTCAAATACTGCTTCCTTGGAGTTGTCCTCTCCCGCCACACTACTTAAAATAACACGACTCCTTGCCCCTTTCCTGCTTTGTTTTGCTCCTTAGAGCGTGGCGGTACTGCTTGACGTTCTTTTTATTTTTATTTAAGTAAAGATATTTAAATGTCTGTTTCTCCTACCCGAGCTCCATGGGAGCAGGGACTTGATCTGTTTTGTTCACTGCTATGTTCTCAGTGCCTAGAACTAGCTCCGGAACTGAAGGCTGTACCTTCTCAACAACGGCAACATTCTCTTAAGGGAAGAGGAGAATGATGGGAGGATATACTATAAATGAAAGATCTAACATTTATTGAGCGCCTACTATGTACATTAGTGAAAAAGCAATTTATGTACCTTAGGTATATATTTTCGCTTACTTTCCCCAACAATCTTGAAAAGCAGATTATTATCCTGTTATAAATAGGGAAACTGAGGCCGAGACCCACAATGACTGGGGCACCTAGGACTAGAGAGGACTCTATTTTCTCATTCATTTAGTCATTCATTCAACAACATTTACCGACCCTCTGATACTTGTGGTGGACGCTGGACAACACAGGACCTCCAAGACAAGAATGGCCCCTGCCTTCAATTTGGGAGGTTGAATTATTAGTTAGTGAATTGCCAGGATGAATTATACCTTAATAGAATTATGCATTAATAATTATGAATTACAGTGAATAAATCACCAGAGTTTATTTTTTTTAAGATTTTAATTATTTATTTGACAGAGAGAGACACAGCGAGAGAGGGAACACAAGCAGGGGGAGTGGGAGAGGGAGAAGCAGGCTTCCCACTGAGCAGGGAGCCCGATGCTGGGCTCGATCCCAGGACCCTGGGATCATGACCTGAGCTGAAGGGAGTCGCTTAACGCCTGAGCCACCCAGGCGCCCCAACGGGAGCAGTTTAATAGTGTCTGGGCTCCCGCCAGCTTTCTCTCTGGCGTCGGGCGATCAGTTGCAAAGACGATTCACGGGTAGGATGGAGCGCGCGCCCGGGCAGAGGCGCCTGCAAGTCTCCGCGGCAGCGCTACCACCGACCTCTAGAAAGCGCAGCGTCACCCGTGGCTCCCCTCGAAGAGAGGCGGAGCTGGAGCGTGTTGTGCGCAGGCGCAGAGCGGGTTTTGGCCGCTCCCAGTTGCGCACTGGCTCCTCTGCCGGCGGCGGGGTGGGGCCTGGCCGTGAGGGTGGCGTGCGCAGGCGCAGAAGCGGCTTCGGGGGTGCGTGAGGGGCGCTGGGGACCGGAAGTTGGAGCGGTCCCGGAGGTTAGTGAGGTGAGGGTGGCGGGGCGGCTGCGCGGGGCAGTGGCGGCGGAGGCGGCGGGTGTGCGACCGGCTTGGGTAGTTGGGGAGCGAGCTGAGGGGTGGGGAGGGAAGTTCCAACGTGAGAACATGTGTTGGAGGAGACAAGGGGCCCGGGAGAAGCGGACGGAGATGGATCGTGAGCGCCCCGACAGCACCTGGGCGACACAGAGGCTCGAAACTGGAAGAAATGGGAGCCACGAAGAGAAGCTCGGAGAAGCTGAGGGACCGAGAGACGGGGAGGCGGAGAGAGGACGGAAGCCGCAAACTGGGGCCATGGGGGGCAAGGAGAGCTGATGGGGGCCCCCCAGAGGCTGCAGAGAAATGTGGTCGCACTGTGAACTTGGGGAGGTGGGAAACTAGCGAACAGAAAGAGACTGAGGAAGAGGGCGGTTCAAACGGAGGAACAAAACACTCGTTGACCTTAAAAGTTATTTTTACCAGCCAAAATGGGTTTACTTGGGGATAACTGCGAGTTGCAATTTGGGACAAACCAGCTACAGCAAAAACCATTGGCTGGTCCAACCAAAGAGAAGATAATTATATGGAGAAGGAGGAAGTTGGGAGGGGTTGTTTTGAATGGAAAGTAGGTTGGAGAAGAGCAAGAGTTCAGGGTGTTGATGGTTTCTCCTTGGCTGAGTGGCTGGGGTGGTCGCTTTCTTGTGGGAGATGCAGCTGTACCTCCTTCCCTGTTGGCACCGGTAATTGATGATTCTTTCCTGTCGGCAATTCTGTTGGAGCCTGTAATTGGCAGTTCTTCCAGTACTAACCTCAGGTGGTACCGCAGGAGAGCTTCCCCCATCCTTCTGGCCTCCCAGCTCCATCTTAGATTTCTCTTCATTAGTGGAAGAGACTGATAGATACAGAGATGGAGGCAGTGGAATAGGGAGAACCTGGCAAAAGCTCATGCAGGGACTGAGAAAGGGGAAGAGCCGCCAAGGGAAAGAGACTTGTGGAGAGAAAGCCGGAGGTGGGAAGTGAGTGAGACGGATGAGAACTGGATTAGGGCAGACCAGTGAAGAGAGCCATCCAGAGTGTGGAGAAAATGGGGCTCGATGGAGAGAGGGTGCATTTGGTAAACTTGGAGAGCAAAGAGAACTGAAAAGGCAGTGTCAAGTTTAAAAGCCAGACCACAGAGAATCACACTGAGAAGATGAAGAGGAATAAATGGGAGCCTGACTCCCTAGATTTGAATTCCTTGTCTCATTGTGTACTTAACCTGTCGTTGGCTCAGTACAATAGGGAGTGATAATAGCACCTTTTTTTTTTTTTTTTAAGATTTATTTTAAAGAAGCGGGGAGGGGCAGAGGGAGAGAGAGTCCAGCGATGTGGAGCTTGATGACCCTGAGATCATGACCTGAGTTGAAACCAAGAGACACTTAACCGGCTGTACCACCCAGGTGCCCCAAATAGCACCTTTTTAACATGAGGAAAGTGTAGCTGTGTACATGTATGTAGCTGGCCCTAGAAATATACATAGGTGATTTAGAATAGTACCTGATAAGTGAGGAGCGCTGTTAGCTAGTAAAGCGTCAGAACTGGGAGACAAAAGGTTAGGTGGGGGAACGCAGGTGAATAGTCATGATGGAGGGAAAGGCAGTAACAGAGACCGGGAATTGGAGAGAGACAAAAATGGAGCGTCAGGGAAAAAAAAAAAAAACACAAACGACTGAACAAGCAAATGAGAAAGTCAGTCGGAGAACCGGCGAGGAATGGAAAGGGTCAAATGGAGAGGGCTGGTTGGAGAGAATATAGACCTGAAGGGAAGAGAAACGACGAGAGACGGGACCAGACTATGAGAGGGAAGAGGGCTGAGCATGGTGAGCGCGGTGAGCTGAACAAAACAGGCTGAGATACGATGGACAGCCAGAGAGGGGAGAGCTCGGGAAGCAGGGAAACACCCTGTAAGCCACCACCAAGAGACCCAGAGATGGTCAGACACTGTGACAGAGAACCGAGGGGACCCAGGAAATCTACAAGGTTGGGACTCGAGAGCCATGGTACTCAGTCGGGCCCACGGGCGCATAGGCGGCTTGCAGCTGGGAGGAAAGCTCTTCATTTCATTCCCGATCTTTTTCTTGGGATCCTGGGCTCGGTATCCATAGCCCACCGAGGCCTTTTCCTCTTACTGCCTCCCCTCCAGCAGGAGTTCCCTATGAAGCCACTCTAGCATCACCTAACCCAGGTGTTTACCGGAAAATGTGCTCCCGTGGGCAACCACTCCGCCAGCTCACAGGTGCTTCATCAGCAGAAACCCCCTTTCTGGCTCTCATTACTCCTAGGGATGGCCTGAGTTCCCCCTGAGACTGCAGAGATCGAATCTGAACTGTCTTCCGTGATGGCCCTGAGAGACTGAAGGGAGAGTAGGTGAAAGCATTGCTAATTCCAGACGAAGGCGAATTGTGGCCTTTTTTTTTTTTTTTTTATTCTGGAGGGGGGGGGGGGGAGGGGCAGAGGGAGAAAGACTCTCAAGCAGACTCCCTGCTGAGCATAGAGCCTGGCGTGGGCCTCGACCTCATGACTCAGATCGTGACCTGAGCTGAGAGTCAGACACTGAACCAAATTAGCTACCCAGGAGCCTCAAATTGTGGCCTTTTGAGTGGAGTTTTCCAGGCTGTATGCCCTGGTTCCTGTCACTGATTTCTCCATGTTAGTCATCACTGGGAGAAAAGAGTGGACTAATTCTAGTTACTGTTTAGCTCCTCTGTAGCAGGCTAGGCGATAATCATTGCAATGTTTGGAAGTAGGTAGTATCCCCATTTTATGGATGAAGAAAACAGCTTCAAAACAGTTAATTTGCAGGTGGCCACACATCTAATAAATGATGACGATTCGGAGATTCAAACCCAGATCTGCCTGACTCCAAAACCTATACCAAGGAAGGCTCTGAATGCTCTTAAGGTCATAAACTTTAAGAATCTGAGTGATGGGCTTCACTCCAGAAAATTGTACATACGTTAGGACTTAGGCAGCTGAGAGAAAACCAACTTTGCCCAAGAAGACATTTTCTTGTGTAGCTCAGAAGTGAGGGAGTGGACTAAACCAAGCTTCTTCCCTCTCTCTTCCACTTCTCCTAGTTCCTCAGTGGCCGTCCTGGTGCGTCCTTCATTGTGCCCATGTGCAGGCTTTTCTCTAGGATGGGTTTCTAGGAAAGACTCGCGGGTTCAAGAGCTACTACAGACAGCTGCGGGTTGGTATGTCATCCTAGTGTAAATGCCAGAGAAAGGCTGTGATTGGCTCCCCGTGGGTCATGTGTCCACTTCTCGCACCAATCAACGGTTGAAGGAGGAGAAGTCGGATGCCATGATGGGCCAGGCCTTTGTCGCTTGCCCAATCAGTAGGGGTTCTCTGACTTTGAGCCATCAGAACCGTGTGGAATCCAGGAAGGACTGCTCTTCAAAGCGGGGTGGGGTGGGGTGGGGGAATGGTGGGTGCTGTTACCAGAAAAGGAAGGAAGGGATGTGCCAGGCAAGCAAAGACAGCGGATAACCTAACACTTGCAAAATTGTGCACTTGATTTCAAAGTGTTCCTAGGTGTCCCGAAGCTCAGGGACCCCAGATGAAGAACACTTGCCTTACTCTTTTCATTATACCACACCCCTCTTGTGTTATTGCCTCTCGTGACAAGGTTCTGTTGTCGATTGGCCCTGTGACCCACCCCCCTTCAGGTTTCAGGTCAGACATCTCTGGGCATCCTTCCCTGACTCCCAAGCATGGTCAGGCAGCTCCTGTGGGCTCCCGTGGCCCAGTCACTGGATTGTCTGTCTCTCGCCTGTGACCACGACCACATGTGAGGGCTCAGGATGGCCATCCTAGTCTGGTGCTTACAAACCAGCAGGCTTTCAGGAAATGTTTCTAAAAATGAATGCGTGTCTTCTCTCCCCCAGGCATTCTGGACCTGAAAACCCAGGATGGACTGGTGTCTGTCCCTGAGATTACTGCAGGAGTTGTGAGGGGCCCTGGGTGTCACCAGCTTGAGCCAGGTTCCTGGGCACTTGCTCTGTCATTGCCTGTGGTCGTCCTGGACTGTCAACGAGGAGGGAGATTGTCTCTGAAGAGAGAGCGGTTCCTTATTCCAGACACTGGCTTCTTACTGTGACTCGGAGATAGCACTGATAGCATGCCTCCTCCCAGAACGAAGGAGGGCGGGGATCCCCGAGGCCGACACTGGGATCCCGGTGAGGAGGAGGCCCCCGAGAAATGGGACTGGAATTGTCCAGAGACACGTCGCCTCTTCGAGAATGCCTTTTTCCGCGATGAGGATTATATACGCCAGGGTTCTGAGGAGTGCCAGAAGTTCTGGGCCTTCTTTGAACGCTTGCAGAGATTCCAGAGTCTCAAGGCCACCAGCAAGCGGGAGAAAGACCCTGGGTGTCCCAAGCACAGCGTCCCAGCATTGGCTGACCTGCCTCGCACTTACGACCCACGCTACCGCATCAACCTCTCGGTCCTGGGCCCCGACACCCGGGGCTCCCGGGGGCTGGGCAGGCAGCCCCCAGAGAGAGTCGCCGAGTTCCGCCGAGCCCTGCTGCACTACCTGGACTTTGGCCAGAAGCAGGCGTTCGGGCGATTGGCCAAACTGCAGCAGGAGCGGGCAGCACTTCCCATCGCCCAATACGGGAACCGCATCCTGCAGACGCTGAAGGGGCACCAGGTGGTGGTGGTGGCCGGGGACACGGGCTGTGGCAAGTCCACTCAGGTGCCCCAGTACCTGCTGGCCGCCGGCTTCAGTCACGTGGCATGCACCCAGCCCCGGCGGATTGCCTGCATCTCCCTGGCCAAGCGTGTCAGCTTCGAGAGCCTCAGTCAGTATGGCTCCCAGGTGAGTGGGTCTCACCAGCTCTCCGGTGTTTCCAGCGCGACCTCGAGGCATAGGCTGTTGCCCCGATGGTAGTATCGATGAAAGTGGAGCACTTCCGGTTCTTCGAGAGACTGATCTACAGATTGACCTGAATATGGTTCAAACGAGAAAGGCACTAGCATTACCCATAACACTTTCTTAAAATTTTATTTTATTTTTTTTTATTTTAAAGATTTTATTTATTTGAGAGAGAGAATGAGATAGAGAGCACGAGAGGGGAGAGGGTCAGAGGGAGAAGCAGACTCCCTGCCGAGCAGGGAGCCCGGTGCGGGACCCGATCCCGGGACTCCAGGATCATGACCTGAGCCGAAGGCAGTCGCTTAACCAACTGAGCCACCCAGGCGCCCAAATTTTTATTTTATTTTTGAGAGAGTGCAAGCGTGGGGAGCGGCAGAGGGAGAGAAAGAGAATCTCAAGCGGGCTCCACACCCAGTGCAGAGACCGATGTGGGGCTTGATCCCAAGATCAGGACCTGAGCCGAAATCAAGAGTCAGATGCTTAACTGACTGAGCCACCCAGGTACCCCTCTCCCAGTATAACACTTTTAACAGCAAAAAATTGGAAATGGCCTAAATCATTCCTTTTTTAGCAGCCATTAAAAAAAAAAGAGAGGCTACTTCTTTATAGTGATTTCTAGGGTTCTAATCCAGGCTCTGCCCCTTAAGAATCGTTACTGAAATTCTAATACTCTAAGCAGAAGAATGTGTATCCTCTGTAGCTCAGTGAATTTTCACAAATGAATTCATTTATGTAACCAGCACCCCAGAAACCCTCTGTCCCCCGCCTCCCCCCGTTACTGCCCTGAGGCCCCAAGAGTTGTCACTATCCTGAGTGATAGATTATCTCTTAGATTATGACAATTGAGTTAAAGAGGAAATACCACAGATCAATTTTGCCTCTTTTATTTACTTTTTATAAATGGAATCAAAAAGTGTGTTCTCTTTGGTGCCTGTCCTCTGTCGCCCGGTATTAGTTTTGTGAGAGACTTGTGTGTGGTAGAGTGTGTGGTAGAGTGTGTGGGTGCACACTGTTCTGTTCTTTCTCGCTGCTGTTTGGTCTCCCCTGGTGAAGACACCACAAGGTATTTGTCCCTTCTGCTGTTGACTGGAACTTGGGGCATTTCCAGCTTGAGGCTCTTTTTTTTTTTAAGATTTTATTTATTTGACAGAGAGAGACACAGCGAGAGAGGGAACACAGGCAGGGGGAGTGGGAGAGGGAGAAGCAGGCTTCCCGCGGAGCAGGGAGCCTGAAGCGGGGCTCGATCCCAGGACGCCGGGATCATGACCTGAGCCGAAGGCAGACGCCTAACGACTGAGCCACCCGGGCGCCCCCCAGCTTGAGGCTCTTGTGTAAAGGTGCTGCCATCAACATTCTAGAACATGCCATTTGCTGTCTGTCGGTATGTATTTCCGTCAGGGATATAACTAGGAGTGTGACTGCCGACTCGTCAGATCTGCAAGAATGTCTGGCTTTAGTGGATGCTGCCGAGCCACTTTGCAAAGTGGTCATACTCATCCACACTCCCAACTGGTGTGGTGTTCTGCCCTTGTTACAGTTAATCTTTCTCGTTTTAGCTTTTCTGGGTGGGTGGATCGTAGTAGCACATTTTAATTAGCATTTCTCTGACAACTAAGGGTTGAACATATTTATTGGCCATTTGGAGATCCTCCTTTCTGAAGTGTCCATTCAGGTCTTCTCCCCTGTTTGTCTTTTGTGTTGTCTTTTTGTTCTCGATTTATGGGGTTTTAAAGATGAGGGAAACGAGTCCTTTGTAGGATTTGTGTATTGCAGATCTTGTCTCCTACTCCGTGAGTTGTCTTTCATTTTCTGAATGCTGTCTTTTGATGATGATGTTTTTTTATTTAAATACTGTTCAGTGTGTCATTTTCTTTCTGTGGTTGGCACTCTTTGGGTTCTGTTTAAGGATTATCTCCTTACTTTAAGAACATAAACACATCCTATGTTTTTTCCTAAGGATTTTTACCTTTAAAACTATAATTTATCAGAAATTGATGCGTATGTGATATGAGGTAGTGGTTAAGATCATTTCCTCACGGGGCGCCTGGGTGGCGCAGTTGGTTGAGTGTCTGACTCTTGGTTTTGGCTCAGGTCACGATCTCAGGGTCGTGGGATCGAGCCCCGTGTGGGGCTCTGCGCTCAGCGTGGAGTCTGCTTGGGATTCTCTCTCCCTCTCCCTCTGCCCCCCCCCTGTGCTTTTTCTCTCTCTCTCTCTAAAAATTTTTTAAAAAGATCATTTCCTCTCAATACTGCTTTTAACTGTGTTTTGCCTTGGATGAGTGACCTCAGTTTCCCCATCTGTGAGGTGAGAATGGTGGTTCTTGCTTCTCATGGTGGCTGTGAGGATGAAATGAGTAGGGGGTGCCCATTCAGTGTTTAGAGTAGTTCCCACCAGAGTAGGGACTCAAAGAAAGGTGAACTATCCCCCATGGTCATTAATTAGTATATACCCAAAGCTCTGTGCCAACACTTTATGTGCATGAGCACGTACCGTTCTCCCAGCAGTTGGGGGGATGTCTCTGAGGGACGGAACTGCTCGCCCGAGTCAGTGGTACTAAGCGGCACAGGTGGCGTCCAGACCCAAGCGTGCTGGACTCCAGAGTCTGATGGGGGCCCGGGAGCAGGGGCATTTGCTCAGATTTTCAGTTTGGGCGGATGCGGGCTGGTGCTCAGGTGCGGGCTCCTCTCCTGACCACCCCCCTTTCCCCCCAACTCAGGTTGGCTACCAGATCCGCTTCGAGAGCACGCGGACAGCGGCCACCAAGATCGTGTTCCTGACGGTGGGGCTGCTCCTGAGGCAGATCCAGCGGGAGCCCAGCCTGCCCCAGTACCAGGTCCTGATAGTGGACGAAGTCCACGAACGTCACCTCCACAACGATTTCCTCCTGGGCGTCCTCCGGCGCCTGCTGCCCAAGCGGCCAGACCTCAAGGTCATCCTCATGTCGGCCACCATCAACATCTCGCTCTTCTCCAGCTACTTCGGCGGTGCCCCCGTGGTGCAGGTGCCCGGGAGGCTGTTCCCCATCACGGTCAGTGCTGCCCTCACGTCCCCCAGTCCTCCCACCCGGTCTCTGGCCGGCCTGGACCTGTCCCTTCTCTCCTGCTCGGATTCCCATCTTTCCGTGAAGGACATTCTTGCTCGCGCTCTCTCTTCTAAAGCTGCCATATCCTGAGCATTTGCAATGCGCTGGGCAGGTGCTCGGTGCTTGTTGGAGGAGACCCAGCAATGTAAAGCTATGAGTTTGTTCCTCTTATGTAACAGTCCTGCTGGTCCAGGCTGGTGGGCAGCTCTGTTGCATGTGGTCATTCAGGGACCCGGGCTCCTCTTTTCTCCTGCTCTACCATCGCATAGCGTGGAGCTGCTCAGTCTCCGCACTGTTGACGTTTTGGGCTGGATAACTCTTCGGTTGTGGGGGCTACCCTGCGTATTGTAGGATGTTTAGCCGCCTCCCTGGCCTCTTCCCACTAGCTGCCAGCACCATTCTTCCCCCCTCAGGGGTGACGGCCCAGAATGTCTCCAGACGTTACCAAATGTCCCCTGGGGGCAGCCCCCTGCCCCCTGCGCCAAGCACCCCTGTTCTAGGGAGCTGTCCGGGTCTGTCTGGTCAAAGCTTGCAGGAAGAGGGAAGGAGCCCTAGTCCAAGGAAAGACCAGTTTGTCTTGAAGTTGGATGTGACTTTGCAGTTGTCTTGTTCTCTCCATGCCCATGGTGCAAGGTGGGGAGGGCTGGAAGGTGCTCGCTCTCTCGCTAGGGGACGGCGTGCCCAGGAAGAAAAGAGCAGAGTCTTTGGGGCCACCGTGGGTCTCGCACACCTCTCGACACCCCCGACCTCACCCCGTCCCCACAGCGGTCCTGGGCAGGCCTGACTCCACACACGTCCTTAACCTCCCACCCCAGGTCTTTGGTTTCTCCGGAAAATTCTACCCTGAACTTTTCCCCCTTTTGCACCGGCCTATTTGCTGTGGCTCACATAGTGGTCTTGTCGGTGATCACAATGAAGCTGCTACCATGGGAGAGCTCACGTGGGCCCTCACCACGGCCCTGGGGGGCCTGCGCCAGGGATTTCTGCCCCTGGGGGTAAAACGGAGGTTCAGAGACGTGGAGCGGCAGAGCCGGGACTGGAATCCTGCTCACAGATGTGGCCCCGGACCAGGGAGCTTCTCTTTGCTCTTTCAGATCCCCTTTCCCCTCCCCACCTGTCTGTCTCCCCGCCCCCCGCCCAGGGGTGGCACTCGTGGACCCCTCCTGCCTGGCTTCCCAGTGGCCCTCCAAGACGGTCTGTGCCTGCTCTCTTTGTGTTTTGAAAGCCAGTCCCTTCTCTCGCAGGGAGAGTTGGTAGGAGCCCCGGAGTTCCTAGCACCAGGAAACTGCACTGCTCCTTGTGGTTTGGGGTTCTAAATACCCAGCCATCCGTCTGTCTTCCGAGCAGCTGTAAAAAAAAAAAAAAAGAAAAAAAGAAAAAGCGGGCGGGGGGGGGGAGCATGCTGTCTGAGAAGTGATTTTTCTAGGCTTTTGATCCTGACTCCACCCTTTTTTTTTTTTAAGATTTTATTTATTTGAGAGAGAGAATGAGATAGAGCATGAGAGAGGGGAGGGTCAAAGGGAGAAGCGGACTCCCCGCTGAGCAGGGAGCCCGATGTGGGACTCGATCCTGGGACTCCAGGATCATGACCTGAGCCGAAGGCAGTCGCTTAACCAACTGAGCCACCCAGGCGCCCCCAGACTCCACCCTTAAAAATTCTGTTGTTGAAGTTACCTATCAAACCCAACAGAACACGACAGAACGTGTGTGTCGCGCGTGGAGCTCAGCTAATTTTCATACTTCAAATACTTGCATGCAGCTAGCACCCAGACTGCAAAACCTCAGACGTCCCCAGCACCCCAGAAGCCTTCTGGTTACCCCCATACGCTGTCCTTTTAGGATGTCCTCCTCTAATTAACTCGCTCGAGGGCGCCAGGTGCTGCCTGAGGGGTCTGCACCGTCTCCCGCAGCCTGTGGTCTCCCTGCCCTGTGGCCGTGTGCTGGGGTGACAGGCACGCCCCTGCCTGGGGCCGTCTCCCTGCAGGTGGTGTACCAGCCGCAGGAGGCGGAGCCAGCAGCGTCCAAGTCCGAGAAGCTGGACCCTCGGCCTTTCCTCAGGGTGCTGGAGGCCATTGACAGCAAGTACCCCCCCGAGGAGCGGGGTGACCTCCTCGTCTTCCTCAGTGGCATGGCAGAGATCAGCTCGGTCCTTGAGGCCGCCCAGACCTACGCCGGCCGCACCCAGCGCTGGGTGGTGCTGCCGCTGCACAGCACCCTCTCCGTGGCCGACCAGGACAAGGTACCACGTGTGGCCAGGCCGGGGGGGCGGGGGGAGGGGAGGCCTGATTCGAGCACAGGTGTGCAGTGGGAGTCTGCGAGCTGGGTTGGGGAAGGGTCGGGAGGGGGCCGTCAGAGGCCGTCGGGTCACCCTGGTAGTTGTTTCTTTCCGGTTTGAGTCCCCCCAAACCTAGCAGCTTTGAAGAGTAAGTGTTCACCATCTCACATCACTCTCGCAGGTCGGGAGGTCGCGAGAGGCTTCGGTGGGTGCCTCTGGCCCAGGCTCTGTCCGGAGGGTGCAGCTGAGGTGTCGGCTGCCATCTGAAGGCTTGCCTGGGGCTGGAGGGCCCTCCTCTGAGAGGGCTCACTCACATGGTGGGCTGTTGGCTGGGGGCCTCAGTTTCCCTCCTCGTGGGCTGCTTGAGTGTCCTCCCAGCATGGTGGCTGGCTCTTCCCAAAAGACCCAAGCAGAAGCCACAATATCTTTTATGCCCTGGCCTTGGACATCATAGCTCGTCATGTCTGCAGTGTCCTGTTAATTGACCTGGGCTGCTCTGGTCAGGGGGAAGGTGCTGGATGAGGGTGTGGATCCCGGGAGGTGAGCCGCATCGGGGCCTTTGTGGAGGCTGACTACCACGGTTCTCTGGTGGAGGGGGGCGGAGGGAGGCCCTTCAGGTCACACTCAGTTGTTGGTTGATTGAAGAAACCACCTTTGAGCACCTCCTTAGTGCTTCCCCTTGTGCCAAGGGGGCTCTTTGGGACACACTGGGAGCCAAGACATGGCCCTTCCCCTGCCGTAGCTGCCGGTCTGTGGAGGGAGCTGGCAAGCAACGATAATTTACAAATAGAAAAGGAAAGTTGTGGAAACGAGCATAGCTCTGTGAGAGCACAGTCGTGGCGGATTCAGGGAAGGCTTCCTGGAAGAAGAAACTTTCAAAACTGAGACCCGAGAAAGCCCCAGCCTAGGAAGGGGGCAGGGAGAAGAGTGTCCTGGCTAAGGTGTGTGGAGCATTGCTGGGTGCCGGCCAGAGTGGGCAGCTGTGTGCACGCCTGGCCTCATTTAGACCTTCCAGCAGCCCTGTCTGCCAGGGGCCGCTGTTACCCAGGACAGACACAGACACCTGGGCCGAGGCACTCGTGCAAAGTCACCTAAGTGGCCGAGCCAGGCTTTGGAACGTGGCAGTTTGGCACCAGAGCCCTTGCTCTTAACCAGAGGTTGCCAGCTTCCTGGAAAGGGCCAGGGAGTACAAAGTTGTAGGTTTGTTTATTTGAGAGAGAGCATGAGCAGGGGGAGGGGCAGAGGGAGAGGGAGAAGCAGACTCCCTGCTGAGCGGGGAGCCCGACGTGGGGCTCCATCCCAGGACCCTGAGATCATGACCTGAGCTGAAGTCAGATGCTTAACCGACTGGGCTACCCAGGTGCCCCCAAAGTCATAGGTTCTTGTGAGCCATTTTGTCTCTGGCTCGACTCCACTCTACCATTACAGTAGGAAGGCAGCCGCAGACTGACCCGGGTGAGGCTGTGCTGTGTTAAAACTTGATTCACAAAAAACAGAAGGCTGGATCTGGCCCCCAGGCCTAATTGCGGACCCCCAACTCTTGACCACTGTGTTTGTCTCTTGGGCCCAAGAGAAGGGCTTGTGCAAAGGGCCTGCGGTGAGAGAAAGGTGGGGCCCCTGGGAGACCACCTGCAGGGTGTCTGGGGTCCAGACTGTGATGGGGAAGGCAGGCCGGGTGGGACTGAGAGGTGGGCAGGCCTAGGCCGCAGGGCCCTGAAGACCCAGTGTGGTGCTTGGGCTTTGTCCTGCGTGCTCCTGGGAGCCATGGGAGGGTTCTGAGCAAGGTGGGGAGCAGTGCCAGTTTGTGCTTTAGCAGATCTCTCTGCTGTGTGTGATCACGGGTGGGAGGCCAGAGACGAGGGAGGAGGCTGGGGCAGGACCTGGGTGGGAAGGGAGGGCCTGGACCAGGGCAAGGCTGTGGGTTTGGGGAGAACGGAATGAATTTCGGAAACGTTCAAGACGTGCAAGTGTGGCTGGAGGGGGGAGGGGCAGGGGAGCCAGGACAGCCCAGGTTTCTGGCCTACATGGAGTGGTGGATGACGAGCCGTCTCTGAGATGGGGACTCGAGGAGGAAAGTGCTCAGTGGGAGGCGCTGAGGCTATTCGAGATACTGTAGGTGGGTGTGACGTGCCCGTGGGCCATCCAGGAGTCGTCAGGGAGGCCACTGGACACAGGTCAGCAAGGGTCAGCTAGTCTCAGATGTCACCTCCTCCTCTGCCCCCCCCCCCCCAGGTATTTGACGTGGCCCCCCCTGGAGTTCGGAAATGCATCCTCTCCACCAACATCGCCGAGACCTCTGTCACCATTGATGGGATCCGCTTTGTAGTCGATTCTGGTAAGGGCTGCTCCCCGCCACCCCTCAGGCCCTAGAGAGAAGTGTGGGGTCTGGAGATGTGCAAGTGCAGTGAGGGAACTCTGGACCAAAGCAGAGAGTAGGGGGCCTTAGGGCCGCGGTGCAGCGGCAACATCTTCTCAGACATTCCAAGCTTGCTCCTGCCCCGGGGCCTTTGCACTTACTGTTGTCCCTGCCAAGAGCAGTCTTTCTCCAGATATCCACAGGGCTCACTCCCTCATTTCAGGGCCTGCATAAATGTGCCACCATTAGAGAGGCCTACCTTGTCCACTTTTGGGATCCCCCTCTCCTCCTACTGCTGTTGCTTTCCGAATGAGACCTGTTGTTCCTCAGAGTATGGGCCTTATATTTCGTATCTGTTGACCTATTGCTTTTCTGTCTTCCCAACTGGACCGTTGTCTGGGAAGTCAGCGTAGCGTAGCGGTTGGGAGACGCTGGGGCCAGCCTGGCTATGTGACCAAGGTCGTGTCACTGAGGCCATGTGTGTTTGCTCATTTGTAAAATGACAAGAATAGCAGAGCCTCCCTTGGGTTGTAAGGATTCAGTGAGTGAATTCATCCCCTGGGTACTTCGGATGGTGCCTGGCGCAGGGCGAGCACTCTGTGTTAGCAGTGACATCGTATTGAATCTGGGACACCGCCCACGATAAAACATTCCGTAATTTTATGTACCATCAAAATTTAAAAATACCAGCCATTAAATGTGGACGTGCCTTTGCTTTCAAGGTGCGTCCCATTTTCAGAGACAGTGGAAGTGGACAGAGTCGGGCTTAGAGTTGATGAACTCTGCTCTGTTCAGCCCCGTGAGACCGGGGACAGTGTTCACAGTGGTGCCTGGCACACAGGAGGTGCCTAATAATAACAGTTGGACGACCGGGCTCCTGAATACACAAACAGGAGATGGGTGAATGAGGAAACAAAAGGCTAAATCAACGAAGTGTCAGGGTCGAGGCTAAATAAGCTCTCGGTCCGCGTCAGTGGAATGAAGGAGGAGGCGAGGGCGTCAGAGACCGAGCGGTGAGGTGCCCCCCCCCCCCTCCGTGGCTACCGCACCAAGTCTCCCATCCCCGTGCAGGGAAGGTGAAGGAGATGGGCTATGACCCACAGGCCAAGCTGCACCGGCTGCAGGAGTTCTGGATCAGTCAGGCCAGTGCCGAGCAGCGGAAGGGCCGGGCCGGCCGCACGGGCCCTGGGGTCTGCTTCCGCCTCTATGCCGAATCCGACTATGATGCCTTCGCCCCCTACCCCGTCCCGGAGATTCGGAGGGTAGCGCTCGACGCGCTGGTGCTGCAGGTGAGGCCGGGGCAGGGAGGGGGCCCTGGAGGCCCTCAGCCGGGACCCATCCCGGGGTTCCAGGGCCGGGAAGGGCATGGGAGCTCATGGCTTCCAAACGTCCGAGCCCCCTGGCGAGGGGAGGATTGTTCCCTGGGTCCACAGGCTGGTGGGAAAAACCTCGTGACTCCGTCAGAATGCCTTCAGCTGGGACAGAAAATCCACCCGGAAGTGGCTCTTGAAACTGGGGTTTCTCCGTACATTTTATGTCATGGCTCTTAGCTCATTAGCTTTGCTTCGATTAGGCAGCTGCGCCAAATAGGCCCCCTTGCCGAGCGGCCAACACACAGAACCTTGGTCCTCGGGGTGGTGGGCGGTTTCTTTTATTTGGGGACCCAGGCCCCTTTCCTGTGTGGCTTCGGTGGAGGGGAGGGAGCATGGGAGAGGAGCTTGGGAGGGTTGGCGGGCCAGGCCCCTCCACTCACCTTGCCCTGGTTAGCACTCACGCCTGCGGCCGCTGGGGAACCTGGCCAGTGTGGGCTCTGGGCTCTGGGCTCGGGCAGAAGAGGAAGGGCCAGTGGCTTCCACAGCAGGCTTCCCCGGGCCGGAGCGGCTGGGAGCACCAACCAGCCCCCTTCCTGTGGGTGATGCACCCTCAGAGTTCCTGTTTTGTTTGATTTCATTTTTCAAAAATGCTGCTTGGGGCCCACTGTGTGAGTTCCTGACCCGCAGGGCCTGACCAATATGGACGATGGACCGTTTCCCAGTGGAGCAGTCCCCAGATGGGGAGGCGGCAGTCTCGGTTATTTAAGTGGGTCAGTGATGTCCTACAGGGCTCGGGCTCGTTCTAGCCTTTTCCGTCTTCTGTCCGTCAGCGGCTCTTCTAAGCATAGTGATGGCAAAGGTGACACTGGATAGAGAGCGCTTGCCTCGCACTCGCTGTGGGCCAGGCGCTGTTCTTGTGTTGTCTGTGTAGAACTGTTTGGATCCCTGCAAAAGCTAGACAGGAGGTAGTTTTATTATCCCAATTGCTGGATGAGGAACAGTCGCACAGAGACGTGATTTAAGTTGCCCCAGGTGTCCCAGGCGGTCAGCGGCAGAGCCCGGGTTCCATCTGGGGCTGTCCGGCTCCGAGCCGGCCTCATGCGTGCCACCTGGCTGTGGCAGCCGTGGCGTCACCCCACCTCCTTGACCATCCAGACGCAGAGGCAACAACTGCCCCTCTGCATGGGTCTCATTTTTAAGACCCTGGGCACCTTTCCCTGAAGGCCCCTGGCCACTCTCCCATCCTGTCTCGTTGGCAGCACTGGGTCATGGGTGTCTCCTGGTTGACCTGGAAATGCCCAGGGCCAGGGCCTTGGCTGAGTAGCTCAGAGCGGGGATTGCTGGCCCCGGCTGCACACTGGAATCATGTAGAGAGCTTAAATTTAAAAAATCTGGCCTCACCCCTCACCCAGAGCTTCTAACGTAAAGGTGTTTTTTTTTGTTGTTTCTTTTTTTTTCATGGGCACTGGGTGTTTGTCCGGGAAGCAGGGAGGGAGGTGGACCGGCTGCGTGCCGGGTGGCCAGCCCGCCTTGTGGTGCCCGCCGGATGAGGCCCAGGTCAGCAGGTGACCTCGCAGCAGGGTTGGCTAGAGCCCCTGGGCCCTCTGAGCTTCCTTCCCGCTCTCTTCTGGCCCCATGAGCCTCCATGCCCACCTTTCCTCCATCTGGTCCAGAGAGGGGATGGTTGCTTCCGCCTTGCCAGGCCCGGTGATGGGTGCATTCTTTACTTCATTCCCCCACACGCTGCTGCCCTTCTGGGCCTCTGAATTAATGAGGATCCACTTTGGTCCACGGTGAGAGAAACTCAACTCAAACTACCATGAGCAGAAAAGAGGATTTCACGAGGTTGTGCATCCATCGTGGGGGTGGTCTCGCTTAGGAATGACTGAGGACTTTTTCATCTGCTGTGCTTGGGCTGATCTCCAGGCAAGGGCAAAATAATCCCAGCAGCTCTGGGCTTCCATGCTGGCCCCTCACAACCAGAGAGGAAGCCAGAACTTCTCTCTCCCAGCGTCCGTTTGCAAATGTCCTGGGGAGGATCCTGATTGGCCCAGCTCAGGTCCCATACTCATTCCTTGATCGGTTGCTCTGTTGAGGGGCTGAGAAACCAAGATTGGTCCAGCTTAGGTCCTGTGGCTTGCTCTGTGGCCAGGGTCCAGGAGAAGAGGTGCTGGAGAGACAGACAGGGGCCCTTCTCCCCTGCCCCATGCAGAGGGCCTTGGCATTGGGAGTTTTAAGGTAGCATGAGTTTGTGATCTTTGAGCCCCCGGCCAGTGCTCAACAGTAGCTCCCGTGTCCCCCATTCCTGGGGGGCCCAACTGTCATTCCAGATGAAGAGCATGAACGTGGGGGACCCACGAACCTTCCCTTTCATCGAGCCCCCGCCACCAGCCAGCCTGGAAACAGCCATCCTCTACCTCCGGGACCAGGGGGCCCTGGACAGCTCCGAGGCCCTCACCCCCATTGGGTCCCTACTGGCCCAGTTGCCGGTGGATGTTGTGATTGGTGAGGACTTCCTTCAGAGTGGTCACCCAGGGCGCTGGGAGTGGCTGTGGGGACCGTTCACGCTCTGAGCGACTTGTAGGGCCAGCCTGTTCCTTCTCTGGGCCCTGTCAGTTCGGTCACGAGTTCCCTGTTCCGGGCACTGGGGTACAGCAGTAAACAGGCCCCTCTCTCCCCCGCACACCCTGTTCCCAGCTCCACCCTGTCTCCCCTCTCTTGGTGTTGTAAGGATGTCAACATGGCCTGTCTCTTCCTCTTGCTCATCCCTGAGTCATCCCTGCCACTTCTGAGAAGCTCGCTGACTGACGTGTGTTCTGGTCTGATTCTCCTGACTCGAGACTCTCTAGAGGCTCTGTGACCCGCAGAATATTCCCAGGCGAGCAGGACTTCTTGTGGCACTATTGGCCAGGCATGATGTTTCACAGAACCTTCTGCCCATGTTAACGTCATTAATGTCCCCATCAGTGCACCACCCTGGAGCTTCAGGGGGGACAGGAGCCTGGGGACCACCGACCCTGAGGTCCTCTCATGGTTATGAAGGTGGTTCTGTTTGTTTTAGGACACAGGGCTAGAGCAAGGGAAATCCGATCTGAGAAGAAAAAGAACGTTCTGTGAGCATTGGCTGTGTGTCAGTGAAAGGCTCTGTAAGCCTTCTATCATTTCACCCTCACCTGGGGAGGGGAGGGCCTCTGGTCACCCCTTCAGTACAGATGAGGACGTTGAAGATTGGCCAGGGACAAAGATCTGCACCCAAGGGCCCAGAGCAAGCAGGCAGCAGGGCCTGGATTGGATCCGGTGTGACATGGGAGTGACTCATTCCAGCCTCAGAGATGGATTGTCACTCACTTGCTCAGGGTCATGCTGTGGGCAGAGCTGGGAGGGCACCCCAGCCAGGCAGACACTGTCAGTCCCCAAGCCCCGCAGGACAGGGGGCACACATGACTCAGTGCCGGGAGGGTCCGGGCCCGGATGGCTCAGTCACCGTGCTTTGTCTGTGCCAGGTGGGGCGCTAAGTGCTGGGAAGCACGGTCCATTCTCACAGCAGCCAGACGCCGCCCTTAGCCCATTTCACCGACGGGAAGACAGGCACAGAGAAACGGAGGGACTTGCCCGAGGGGCAGAGCTAGAGGGTTCTGGGACAGCCTCGTTTTCTTGCCCAGCTTTATTTTCCGAGGCTAGCTGTGTAACAGGAGCTTTCCAGAAAGGCAGCCAAGGGGACCAGTGAGGATGAGTCAGACGCGTGTTACGCAGGCCCCTGAGCACGGGGCAGACAGGCGAGGTCCTGGTGGTGCGGACCAGGGACCTGCTGCTTCCATCTTTCCCTGTCTTCCCTGCTCCCACTACCCCCCTTCCCCTCTCCCCCTACCTCCACCTTGAATTAAACAAAGATGGCAGGAGAGGATCCAGCCGAGGCAGGCGCAGAAGTCAGTGCCCGTGGTGTGCCAGGCCGACTGTTGGGGCTCATGTGGGGTCCCGTTCTGGAGGGAGGAGGGAGAGACCGCGGCGGGTCAGAGCAAGTGCCAGGAAGGAAAACAAAGCCAGGAGGGGGATGTGGGGTGTGGGGGCGTCAGTTGTAGAGAGGAGAGCCAGGTGGGTGGGGGCAGTGCTGCCGACAACGGCCAGCTCTCAGACGGTGCCCACCTGCGGCCCGAGGCAGTGAGACTGAGGTGACCTCCGGCCTACAGATGGGGAAACTGAGGCCTTGCCCAAACTCACGTGACTGGGAAGCAGAGTGTGGGCTTGATTCTGTCCCTGTGGCTCCCGAGGCCCTTTGCGGGCCAGGTGGAGGGGGTTTGGGGCTGGCTGGCGGGGGGG